TCATCACTTATTGCTTGTAGTTCCTATAAGCAATGCTTGTACCAAGCATTTCTTCACCCACAACTTAGCCTTGCTCTGAATCTTGTATCAAATCATCAGTAGTCTGCTGAATAGTAATACACTTATCAAGTTAGAGCCCTATTCTTCTTGATCCATCATGGCTCCTTGGTCCAATCTAAGTCCCTCAAGATTGTCCCCCTCCTTGCCTGAAATCCTTGATTTAAAAACCTGACAACTTGAACCCACGACCTCAGCAATGCTGAGACACATACTAGAGTGCTGCCTTAACCAACTATCACTACGTTCAATTAGCTTTTGCTGCGGGCCGCAGCGTCACCTGACTTTTTACAGAAAAATTTCAACTCGTGCGACTTTCAAAATTTCAGTCTGAAACAACAACTGCTTCTCCTGCAACAACGACATCAAAAATTTCTTGAACATACAGAATCAAAAATTTCTCTCAGACCTCATGGAGCTTTGTGAATGCTCTGTTTGCATCGGTTTCCATTTCCTTGAAAAAAATGGAGAACAAAGAAGTGGACGCTACCTTTCTTCCCAAAGCGTTTCCAAACATCGACTTAGTGAATTTCACCAAACACAAAGTATTACTATCTTGCAGGAAATCTCATCTGTCTCTTCAAAATCTTTGCCTTCAACCACCGAGAGTGAATTGACATCCATTATTGTGGAACAGAACCATCTTTTCTGTGAGTTCAAACTTCTTCTCAAATCTGATTTGTTTCTTTTTTCTGATCCATGTGAAAATTCTAGTATGTGTCATACTTTTTGTATCATGGCTTCATCTCTTCTGCAACGTGAGCCGAGAAAAATGTCAGACCGCTATCAAAATGATCATCAACATTCTCCGTCTTGCCATAAAACACTCAACTTCAATCCAAGACCTCAGGGTGATCCCATCCAATCTGCAAACATTGATTTCAAAAGCCAACTTGGATGTGGAACTGACTGAAAAAATCTGCTGCCGAGTGTTTTTCCGTCTCTATGAATTTCAACCAACTCCTTGGTGCTGCAATTACAAATCCTTTAGCGACTCAGATCCCTCTCACAACGAACTCTTTGTCAGCAAGAAGATCTATAAAGGTCATAAGGATGTTGGCGACCTTGCACATTACTCTAAACCACCTAAAATCTTTGCCAACATTGTTGCCACCCCTCGGTGTGTGTTCCTTTCTCAGTGTATAGTGACATGGTTGACATGGCTTTTTTCAAGGCCTGATTTTGAGAAATCAATTGAAGACTGGATTCAAACTAATGATAAACTGAAAGATTGGGGATACATTTCAGAAATACAACATGGTGATGTTTTCACTAACACGGAATGGAAAAAACGGCCAGATTTGCTTCAATTAGCTGTTTCGTTGTTTGTTGATTGGTTCAATCCTCGAGGAAACAAGATCAGCGGAAAAGTGGAGTCAACTGGAATTCTTGCTCTTTCTTTTCTAAACCTTCCACCAACTTTCCGCAACAAGATTTCGCACATGTATATTTTTGGAATCACCCCAGGGCCCCACTCTCCCAATCCGCAGACATTCAACCATATTTTGAGCCCAATGGTGGATGAACTAATTCAACTCAACACTGGTATCCTCATTGCAACTCACCAATATCCATCCAGTTGGTTTGTCCAGGTCAAACTGCTGTGTCTCTACGGTGATATTCTTGCAACCAAGAAGGTCGCAGGTTACGCTTATCATGCAGCCACAAAATTCTGCCCATTCTGTCATGAAGAGAATTCAAACATACCTAATCTAAAACTATCAAAAGAAGATGAGAAAAAGAAGAAACAATTTCTTCAGCCACAAAGTCAAAAGAAGCCAAGTCATCAGCTACCCAAGACAATATCCTAAGAGAAACTGGTGTGCAATGGTCAGAACTGGATTGAATAGTGTATTGGGATCTGAGTAGGAATGTTGTATTAGGAGTGATGCACAATTGTCTTGAGGGTATATTGCAAGGTCACTTTCACTATTGTTGGAAATTTGGCTGTGTCCCACCAAATCAGGCACAAATAAAACGTAGGAATGACTCAAGAGCAAATTCTGGCCCTATCAAACAAGAAAGGATAACTATTGAACCGGCCACCATGCAAATCAATGACGAAGACCTATCTAGCAAATCTGACGATGATGAAAATGAAGATATCTTGCTCAATGGCGGCTCTGGAGGTGGTTTCTTTTCGGAAGATGATGTTGAGCGCTTTTGCACCAAAATGAAACAGGTGTTCCATACCTCCCCTGAAATCTTGGCAAGGCAAAGGATGGGAAATTGAGCGCTTCACAGTGGCATGCACTATTTGTGTTTGTTATCCCATTAGTGCTGTGTGAAATG